CCCGTCCTTTCTTTGCCTTTCTCTTTGTTTCACCTTCCTCCCCGCCCTCATCTCTCCCTTTCACCACTTCCTCGTCCCTTCCTGGGTATATCTTCTTCCACGGCTGATGCCCTTTGTCTCGAGAAAACGCGATTAGAAACTCTCGCGCGGTGCAATTTTGAGGCGGTACCCGCTTCCGTCATAATGGCGCGTCTATTAGTCTCTTGAACAGCGGGGGACACGATTTTAACGAACTCTTTGCCGTTTTTTCTCTCTGTGGCCTTTCTGACTTTCTCGTCGATCTTAGAAGTACGCTGATTTTACTTGAAATGAAAAATACATGTTACTCGATCTAGTTCTGACATCACAGTATGACGCTACTGCCAGGCAGCAGTTCAAATGAAAGAAAGCATAGATATTTCAATTTAGATGTTTCTAATAGATGTTTTAATGATTATGCATAAAAATCGCCAATATAATTATCTTCGGGAATTTTAGTAAAACAAACAATCATGTGAATACAGTTAAAAGATTATTATACCCCTTTTGATTAGGACGCATTTTATTTTCAATTTATATAATATGTATAATCATATAATCAATTATTAATTATATTATAATTACAACTGTACTGTATTCACTTCGTTATTACCTCGAGCAACTGTACCTGATTAAATACGTAACGCATTTAATGCACCGGAGACAAGCGGCTCATTCTCTTTAGAGTGGCAGGCTTTATTAGCTGTCGGAAACAATGAAAATGAAAATGAAAAAGAACCGGTAAAACCATACGAAGGATCAACCGGGAGCAAGTTCTGACGAGTCGCTGGAGGAAAAAGAACTCCCGAAGAAATGACAGTTGGAGACAGAAGCCGATGCTTTGTGGTCCATAAATAAATCACTGGCCGTTGGCGACAGCACACGGGCAGCAGTCACTGGCGCGAGCGCAATCGCGTTTGTATTTTGAGCGACAGCCAATATTTAACTCCAGCAATGGCAATCCGTTCGTTTCGAGACTAAGACGTGCCAAAGGAACTATCGAAAGGCTGGTCCCGTATTCCTCAGGCAGAAGACGCAAATCGAGACTAAAGCCAAATCCAAATCTCATAATCCCTCCCAATGATCATTCGATCGATAAAGAAAATCCTACATCTTCGTCTTTAATAAAAAAAAAACCAGAGATGACACCAACGATTCCTCAAAACTTAGATTAGAAAGGCCTGAACGTGACGATAAGTCGCGAAAGTGACGAGGCCATGCTATGATCGCGCGGTATGTCAAACGTTTCCAGATTCTAAGAACATTACATTCCTTTCGTTTCGTCGAACACGCTTTTCATGAATTCCTTCGGAGGGGCAAAATTTTCAAGAAGTGAATATGTCGCGCCTTGCAGACAGAGATAAAAAGATAATTGTACTTGTTGGAAGATAATCATGGTAATTGTTAGTTTGAGATAATCGAAATATAAACGACGATAACAACAAGGATACGATTATTTAACTTAATGATGATAATATCATTAATTGAAGAGTGCGCGAGAGCGCACGGCATCAATAATTATCGTCATGATTTATAACTTTCTCCTTGCGGCTTCTACACATCGCGACTTCGACAAACTAAGCAAACGTCTAGACCGCGGGAGCTACGGGACTTGGGCAACCGCTGAGAAAATTCAACCATAAGGATTAAGAAACCGAGCATAATATTTACACTATCACCTACGATTCTGTCATTCACATGCAAATATTTCTTCGGTTAAACGATTATCGTCTTATCAATGAATAATCAGAGCCAAGAGCGTTTCTTACATTTTGTAATTCAAAATAGAAATGTGAATACAGGTGTGATATGGCTTCATGGCAAACATAGTTTCGAACTTAAAAAAAAAAAACACGAGACGCAGTATGATAGAAGAAATGTACTACTATACATCTAAAATAAACGGACTGAGAACAATTAATAATGATTATAATAAAATAAATTATTTCATTAATTACTTAAACAAATAAATTATTAATTATTGACTAATATATTGAAAAAAATTATTCAAAATTCCTCCTTTTTAGTGTGCCGAGTTGATTTAATCTGTGGCGATTACAACGTTGCATGCATTGCCATCCGATTCAGCTCGTTAGAATAGATACTTGCGATATTCTCGGGTTTTAATTTCTTTTAATTTTTATCATACATTTTACCATGGTATATACCTTTGTATCGTTTTAACGCTATATTATTATTGTTTGTGAGAAAGATCTCGAAGGAGAAAAACGATAGCGAGCTGATTCGAAATGACGAACGGATCGACCGAAGAAATTCGACCGACGGACACACCGACGCGAACGGACGTGTATTTAAAAAAACAAGAATAAAAGACACTTTGTGGAAAATCGGACTTTGTTCATTCCCGCTCCGTCGAAATATATACGATCCCACGCGCTAATTCCTAAAAATCCAATAATACGAAAATACGAAAAAGGATGGCCGACAGTTAAGAATATTACCCCGGAGTAATAATCATAATATGATTTTCTCGTTAATCATAGATCCCGAAAATGAATTTCTGCGGCGACGCTAGATGATTCGTTTGGATTCGACGCGAAACAATGTTCGCTTCCTGGTGACTGTGAAAGAACGGTAATCGCGTTAGCGGTCGCGACCGAAGTGGCGCATCCGCAAAGCGTCTTTCGCCATTACCTCGACTCCTACCGTAACAAATCCGTTCCGCGGGATCAGTTCTGTCACCAAATCACGCTTTTTGTTACGCTACTCCAAACCGAGAGCCGAACGACCTACTAACGAACGCGCGTAACAGCGTGCAATCGCGCCGAGATAATGCGCGGCGTCAAAAAAGCTTATTAATATTCTGACTGGCAAAAATAGCGTTTTAACCGACTGATTCGCGACGGGTCGCATGTGTATGTTCAAAAACACAAGTCGATATCGGGAGTTAATTACGCCCGATCTTTTTTGCCGAATTTCCCAGAGTGCTAAGTATCGAATCATGTATCGATTTCTCAATGTTAATCACATTAAGTAAGAAATTGAGAATGTAACAACGATACGACTGGTCTCCCCTGGGGATTGAGATTAAAAAAATCGATTGCTCAACGATTAGAGACGATTTTCGCCAGCTCGAATGGGAAAAAAATCCGCGGGTTACCCCTTAATTAGAAGACACCGACAAATAACGCGAGGCGATTGGACGAGATAAAGCTGCTGGAAGTTGCGGGAGCTAAGTGGGCCCCTATTCCGCTACCGACAGCTTCCAAGGGTTCCTAATTGTCAAGATCGAGCACCATAATTACACCCTCCACGATTCGTTCCCGTGTCTCGGCGCTCGTCTCCCCGTTAACGCAACTGGACGAATTCCCCGCGTGGCAAAACGATACCGACGTCGAGCGACTCAGCAGGTAAGCAATCGTGGCCCGGGAATTAAGAAGTCTGGCTTGATAAGAACCGATAAAAAACCACTTTCCGTGAGGGAACCTATGACCCCTCTCGCATTCTTTCTTCTTGCTATATTAAAGATACGCGAGGAATCCATTAGGGATTCAAATTAACAAGGCAGAAAATGATTTGCGACTTAATCGCAAGACATTAAAGTGTGACTGTGAAAATTGAACAATCAAGTTAAAAACTGATAAGACAATATATATGTTTAAAAAATAATATCCGTTAATTAAAAAGTAAAGAAAAAGTACAAAGTCTCTAATTTTTGAAAACAATAATATTACAATAATTAAAATATTTATGAAATATTCTAAGAAAATAAATAAAAAATGAAGAAGTAATATACGAATTATATTATTATTGCAATCGATATTTCAAAACTATATATAAATTATTTAAAAGCAAATTATTTTTATTTCATAATATTGAAATTTTGATTTGACGGCGGTCAAGGCGTATTAGACGTAGTCTCGAAATGAGTTTGTTGACATATTAGAGAAATATCGTACGGTGAGTAACTTCTGAGAAATTAAAGACTCGTAAACATAACATAGCGAACATCATAGAACATTTTATCGCCGTGTTTTTAACCAAGGGTATGTCTCTTCAATCAGTTCCTAAAAATTTATGTATTCATCGTGTTGATATTGCACCTTCTTTTGCAATTCTTTTCTTCTTTAATTAAAAATATAATACGGAGATAAATACGATCGAAGCAATAAAAGAAACATACATATCTAAATTAAATATACGACATAAGAGTTCATTCAATGTTCCAGTCATTAAGCTAATTGTCTTATCGTCATAAAGTCGCTTGATTAGATTATCAAGATATTTAACTGCCTTCGTATTATATAATCCATGAAAGTCCTACGATACGCACTCTCTCGTTTCTTGTTCGGACTGGTGTTTGTTATTCGTTTGTCATTCGAGACGTCGGTGGAGTAATGGAGTTATACGAATTCCAAAGCCGCCGCGTGACGCCTACTCGCGACCGCGTGTTTCATAACTTTCCGCAAAGCCGCCACGGCGATTTGCGTCCTCGTTATGATTTCATCGACTAGCTACCGATGCAATCGACGACACCGTGTTTGTGTCAAGCGTCGTCGCATTCGCGAGTCATTTTCAATCGCGTCGCGTCCGAGCATATCGAGCATTTTCTCAAATAACACTTAAAAAATGTTCAACAATAATAAACGATCGTCGATATATCTGAATTGATTACGGAAATAATTCGAAAATGATCATATCGTCGTCACGCTTTCTCTTGATCCGTAAAAGTCCATTAAAAATTCATTGAAATTTTGACCAATGAATATCAAGTGGAATGACCGACGATAAAATATTGGCAACAACAAAGAGATAACTAATCAATATAAATCGGAGACAGATAATAGTATAAAATTATCAGATATTATCAAATAGATCATACAATATAGATATAATAATTCATATACAAACTTTGTGTGTCCACAGGACGTATCTTTATTAAGAAATCATCACATAATGCCGACTAACGACTAGTTTTTCCAGTTCTCTTTCCCGTGTCATCGATCGAATGTTCGACTCACCAGTATAACACCAGGCCGGCCAGACGACAGGACTCTCGGTGTCCAGCTCCCTCATTCTCTCAGCGACCCGCGGACATCTCCACCCCGTTCTTCCCGACGTGGCGGTGAGAATGTCCAGTTTGGCTACCAGCGTCGACCTCCAACCAAGCGAAGAATCTCCGGTTCTGCCTGTCGAGAATCGCAGGCGAACCTTGTCCGTTTGCTCTTCAGGCAAAGAACCACCTGTTGCTTCGCGACCGAAACTCTACTCTTTCAGGTAGGCTCGAAGCTCGAAAATCTCTTTCCGGTGTTTGCTCGCAGCAAGACACTCGGAGAGACGGCGTTCCCTGCGAGAACGCGGGTCAAGACGACATTCGTCGATATCGCGACGCCGTGCACGTGCAAATAAAGGATTCCGAGAGACAGAGATAAGTCGCTGGATGAGTCCTCACCATCACCGTGCTCCGGTTGCGCCGTTGATAAGGCACGGAGGACGCGTCATCCGACTTCAGGCCTAGCCCTGAGCCCGTTTCACTTCCTTTCTGCCGCACAGCCGCGTCTTTCTTCGCCGCGCCGTTTTCCTACGACCATTATTAACGCACTTCCCGCGAGCACTGTCCCAGCTTTCGCTGGCATGTAACAGCGAGCGACACGCGTGTTACACGAAAAGGTGTCTGACACTCGACTCGAATCGCGCACTAAATGTCACGGAAATGTCAATGAGGTGCCGTCGACGTTTGACACCTTCACCGAATGTCCCCTTCCTTAGCGCAGCTCGCCGCTCGACGGATAATAGCTGTCTTCAGGATCGCGCGGATCACCTCGAATCACAAGTCGAGTCTCGGATTATCATCAGACGACTCTTATTCTCTTACCCTTTTCACTCGAAGTGCAATCATTAAACGATATTAGCATTCGCGCGAATATTGAAAATTGCTGATACGATACAACATCAGATTCTCAGTCTACCAACTCGTTTTTAACGGACAAGCTTCGCACTCGCTTTCGAGATTGATTAATATAACAAATTCCACCGATATAAAATCTCGCTTCCTTCTCGATCGATCCAGACTTTTCGCATGCGAATATTTCAACAGGTCACTCGTTCGCAAACTTCCAATTGTCAAAAGAATGCACGTTCCATCGAGTTATCACTCCCTTCACCTTTGCGGTGAACCACGGGTTCACTTTCTTTACCCTGTTGCGGATCGGCGATCGACCGGTCTCGGTAATCGCAGAGCGTACTCTCGACCCGGCCGATCCTTGCCTTCAGTCCAGGAGGATCGTTGACGTACCGCGGGATGACACGACACTACAACACGGCACTGCTGCGTGAGGTGATGTCGAAGAGGATAGACGGATAGATAGAGACAGTAGGGGGAAAGAGAGAAAGAGAGACGGAGACACACAGGTAGGGGAATAGCTAGGGGGGGAAAAAAGACGGCGGAAGAGATAGCCAGCGGGGAAAGGAGAGAGAGAGAGAGAGAGAGAGAGAGAGAGAGAGAGAGAAGAAGAGAGAGAGAAGAGAGAGAGAGAGA